AGCCTCAAAATTAATTGCTTAAATGTTAAACAATATTGCAGCTAAACAAAATCACTAGTAAAATGATTTGTTTACTTGAACTTAAACAAACTAGATACACAAAATAGCCAATTAATTAATAATCAACTTTAAAAAAGATGATATAAGTATATAACCAAACTGTAATGAAGTTAATTATAATATTTCTAATTAAATAAAATTGTAAATCTTGATCCAAGTAAAGTACGGAGTAGTAAACTAGTAAAGTACGTAATATTAAACAAATAAATAAGCTAAATGATAGTTTTATGACCACTTTAAAGTTTAAACCATAATAATAATACAGTAATAATATTGAATGGCAACCATAATATCTTATAGCAAAACAACTAACAAGTGGGGCGGTGACTCGGGCCGGGCCAACCGACCTGGAACCGGACCGGCCCGCTACTGTGCGGGCCCGGCCCGGCCCGGTGAACCGGTTGGTGCCCGGTTCGGGCCACCCGGCCCGGTGAGGTAGGTGGATTGGGCCCGGGCCTCCTAAATCGTGAACCGGCCCAGCCGGTTCAGGCCCGGTCCGGGCCAATTTATTTTTTTTCTTTTTTTTTTAATTTTTTTAAGTTTTTGGGATGGGCTGGGTATGATGGGCCATTTGAGGTGGTTTGGGGGTGAGGGGGGAGGGTTGGGGGTTAATTAGGAAAAGCCAAAAAAAAAATACAAGAACCGAGGTCCGGCCCGGCCCGGACCCAGGGTTACCCGGACCGGTTCCGGGCCTCCCCTTTCATGAACCGAGGCCCGACCGAGCCCAGGCCCAAACCGGAACCGGTCCACCCCTACTGCGGACTGCGGTGGTATATTTTAAACAAGTGGGCGGTGAGATATCTCTGTTTACTTAATAATAACACCTGGAATGGAAGCAACTCTGAAAGATCGAAGTCTGTGTAGTATGTACTCAGCTTCGAGGCTTCGACTGAGACAGCGCTTCAAATCGTTGCTTCGTAGTAGTGGAACTAGGGCTGTCTTTGTCGACAAAGAGATAAACGTGCAGTAGTTTTTTTTTAAATCGAGGCCCCCAATAATTCAAAAAAAGCCCAAGTTGCATTTAATTAAATACGTACGCCTCGACTTCGCCTTGCGCCTCAGTACGCATCACCGCCTCAGTAAAAAAAAAGGCGTAAGCCTTGTTAGTGGAAGGTAAGGCTTAAGCCTTGCACACAATTTGTTAACGCTTTAGCGCCTTAGAGGTGTAGATGCGAAACGCCTTTTAAAACCATGCTCTCATGCACAAGTAACATACCCTATGTTCTTTTTGATCAAGCAATTCAAAGTTATTATGCAGCTCTAACAAGTTCTTTGCTTTCTAGGCAATAATATCCATTGCCATTGAAGATGGAAATTTCCTTCAAGAAGCCTGGGAGCATATTTTAACATGTCTATCCAGATTTGAGCATTTGCAACTGTTGGGGGAGGGTGCACCATCTGATGCATCCTTTCTTACAACTGTTGCTGAAACTGAAGAGAAAGCTTTGAAGTCGGTGGACTTTCCTTCTTTAAAGAGAAAAGGAACTCTACAGAATCCAGTTGTTGCTGCTGTTGTCCGGGGAGGCTCATATGATAGTACTACAAGTGGAGTTAAATAATATAATATTAAAAAATAATAAAATAATCAAATCGATAATAAAATCAAATAATGCATATTAATATCAAAGAAGAAAACTTGAAAGTTAAATTTAAAAACGGGATTTATATTTGTAAAGTAAATCAGAAAAACAATAAAAAATGTATAGAAAATTTGGAAACACAAAACTCAAAACTACAAAATGAAAAATATATAAACTTGTCAATTTATTAGAAGACTTCATGTGCCCTATAATAATTATAAAAAGTTCGTATAAAAAATTTAAAACATAAATAATTGAAATATATATAAAATTAATAAAAAAATGAGAATATATAAAAAATCTCAAAAAATGAATAAATAAAATTAAAATCTAAAATATCATGAATTTGAAAAAAATAATAAAAAAATATATGATTGTTTTTGAAAATATTAAGAATGCTGAAAGACAGTTAAAAACTTTTATGAAACATTTATTCCTTTAGAAACCGATATATATAAAATGTAAAAAAAGTTTAAATTCAATAAATAAATATATTTTTGAAAAGGTTAAAAAATAAAATTAAATGGTCGAAAATATTTTTTTAAAGTTAAAAAGCAGAAAATTTAATTGAACCATAAAGCATGAAAAATATAAAATTCAAGAATAAAAGATGTGAAAATGAAAAAAAAATAGCATTGAAACAATAAAAAAGATCTTAAAATATGAATCTTGTAATTATTTTTTAAATTGTTATAAAAGCCTAGGGGGTGCCCGTGCCCCTGCGGTGATTTATATATATATATATATATATATATATATATATATATATATATATATATATTCGAAAATTCTCAGGTCCAGCACCTCCCGGTCCGAACGCCGTCCGAACACCGCCGTTTGGGGCGGTTCCAGGTGGAATTTTTTGATGAAATTTTTTGAGCATGTTCCTCATCAAGTCTAGTTTATCTATACCAAACTTCAGTTCAAAATTCGATCGAGAAGGCAGTCAAATAATTCGTTGAAGTTAACTGCGTTTTTCTATGTATAATTTGGCGCAGTTAACTTCAACGAAGTATTTGACTGCCTTCCCGATCGAATTTTAAGCTGAAGTTTGGTATGGATAAACTAGACTTGATGAGGAACATGCTCAAAAATTTTCATCAAAATATTCTCCCGGGAACCGCCCCAAACGCCGGTGTTCGGACGACGTTCGGACAAAAAAGTGCTGGACAGAAAAGTTATGCCGATTGAGACTTATGATGTTAATATTAGAGATGAGTTGAGGAGACGTTATTTGAGAAAAGGTCCTTGCCAACCGCGTGACTTTAAATTTCCACAAAGTGATTTTAATGGGTGCAACAGATCATTCCAAAAACAGTGGTTTTATTTAAATTTTATAGTTTTGTTTATTGCTATACTCGTGATGCATATGATTTTTTTCTAGACTAGTATATCATTTCTTTGTTATTGTGCCCCTGCGAGTCACGAGTCCTGGTTCCGCCACTGCCTGCAATAAGAATTCAATAACTATGAAGACAATATAAAAGAAGGATTTGAGATAAGCAAAACAACAACTTCCAATGTATTTATTAGTAACCTAGCAAATAAATAAATGAAGTATGTCTATCTAGCATTTTTTTATCATAGGATAAGAAATAACATATATCAATGTTAAAAGAAGCACATACAATCACAGCCACCAGATGCGATTGTTTTAGAAAAGTAAATACGACCTGAATTGGGATTTCTGAAGTCTCCTCATAAATAAATTAAAGAGTTTAATTTCATCTAGAGATTTGATCCATGAGAACAGTTTGTAGGCCATATCATGCCCGCTTTATCGTTCGAGATCGAGATGCTTGACAATGAAACTTAGAAGTCGTTAGATAGAGATGCCAACTATTTGGAAATGCCTGATACGGCCGTCAGACCCAAACTACATTGCATCAAATTAAATTAGAAGAGTAATCAACAGCGTGGTAACATTCCATGGCATAAAGGACTTGAAAAATAATGTTGGGACCAGATGCTGCTGCAGAGTTGCAGTGATCAGCCACTCCATTGTGGTTCTATCATCTTCGAGTATCTAGCATCTACAAATGAAATACTCTGGTAATAATTACAAATGATATCTAGAATAACATCATGACATACTCGTGTATCACCGATTATAAGTCATTTATAAAGGGGATTCAAACTACACATTACAATAACCAGACAGAACTAACAAAAAATTCAACAACAATACTAAGTTGATAACTAAGCAAATCCAAGGAATTTCATCAAAAGAGAAAGACAGTGGGTCGTGATTGATATAGAACTATTCAGTTAAAAACCATTAAAATTCAATCAAGGAAAGAAAATAGCCCTAAACATCTAAGGTGACGAGAATTTACCTTGCGCCTCTCAACACTAGCAGAAGCTCTTTCTCAACCGTAGCTAGTGAATTTGGCCTTGCTAAAACCATAACAGCAGGTGTTTTCTCTAGCAGCTTCCCAACTTCCAATTCCTATTTCCTAGCATAAACGTGGGTAGTCTGTCTTGGTGAATTTTCCACCGCTGGGATAGCAGTTGGTATCGCAGCAACAACCTTACTCCATGGCAGCTTCAGTTCCCAAAGTTCAAAGTAGGGAAATCGTCAACAGTACCATCCAAAACATCAAACCTGGACGACAATCGAGTAGCTCTTACCGTAGAAGCCTCCCCTGACCCATGTTTGATTTAAAACATTTAAAACTGATGAACAATCTCAAACTTAAGTCGATAGTGAACAGTAACCGCGAAATCGGAGAAGACGGTTTCAGGCCTGCCGTCGTCGTCACCGACCAGTGCAGGTTTGGGATGCAGGTTTGGGAGGTGTGTCCAGCAGTGTAGAACCGCAAACCACCTGCAAATTTCAGATTGAAACGTCGTAATTCAAGAATCTAGTCGAAGCAATTGCAATTGAACAGTAAATCTACGTACCTTGTTTCTCGATTTCTTAATTCCAGGCCCTAAAAACGTCCTCCTAGATTCCAAACCAGGTTGGGATGATAGAAGACATAATTTTTGACTAGGAACCTTCCATAAAAGTGTAGAATCACACCAAACCAATCGATCGAGCTCCGGATGTGAAGAAATCTAGAAGTTCACGGACGACGGTAGAGTCACCAAACCAATCCATGGAGCTCCGGCATAGCGTGGTGTTTATACGGAGTATTATTCAAGGTGACACCAACAACGGCCTAAAATTGAAATACAAAAACATAATTGAAAAAATAAAATAAAATTGACCACAAAAAAAAAAGTAGAACCCGGCCCAGTGTAAAAATAAAGTTGGCCCAATATATTCCTAATTATCCAACAAGCCCAGCGGTGAATGACTCCAGGAGTGCAACAGGTGCACTTATGCCAGCCGCTAGCTGCAGACCAAGTGAGAATGAAAAATCTGAAATATTGAAATTGGAAGACAGGGAAAGCGAAAGAACTCAACGAAGTGCTGTCCTGCGGACCAAGTGAACAGGGGCGGAGTCCAGAGGAGAGGCGCCGCCGCGCCACGGCGCCAGCCGCTAGCTGCAGACAGCCGCCGGAGCCCGGAGGTCGGCCGACTGTGAGACGGTGGCGGTGGATACAGCTCCCAAAAAGCAGTCCATTCTGAAATCTCTCATTGGCTATTGCTCAAGAATTTGAGGTTAATTTTCTAACTCTAACTCATGAATTATATATTCAGTTTTTAATATATTTTGATGCAAGATTGTATCTTCAGTGTATTGTGATTTTGCTGTGTATTTACATTAATTGTAAATTGATGTGAATTTGTGATTTTAGGTGAATTGGCGATTTAGTAAAAATGTGAATCTGTGATTATGTGTATATGTAATATGTTGTATTAGTTAATCAGGTATCGTGATTTGTTTATATTTATTGAAATTTTGAACAAAAAATTAATGTTTTCTAACTAAATTGCTATGTAATTTAAGTCTTTTAATATCATCTACTACGTAATTTTTTAAAATGTGTTTTAAAAATATTAGGATTGTAGAAATAAATTATGGCTACTCAACAGCCTCCTCCGAAGAAAACCAAAGGCACTTTGCATTCTTTCTATAGACCTGTTACTTCTGTTAGTAGTGTACAAAGCGAAGGTACAAGCGAGCATCCAAATATTTCTAATGTTGAAAATTAGTCTTCTATAAGCGAGATTGTGGTTTTTGGAGTAACAACTTTTGTGATAGACTTTAAATAATTTGATTACTATATTTATTACTTAAAAATTCTGTCTTGAAGTTTAGTTAGAATCTGACCCAACCTTCTTTGTTGTCCTGGCTCCGCCCCTGTATGTGCTACATATCATGCCATATTTCAAGTTCAGAATATACATACTGCATTAGAATACTTTTCCATCCAAATCATAAAAAAACTTCTAATTTTATTTTAAATTTTGGCCGTAACCCAAATTCCAATATATTAATTTTATTCACAGAAATCTTAGTGAACACGGTGTCAGCAATTAAAGTGCTCGCCTGACTCGGGTGAAGCGCATTACTTATAAAATATCACATATACTATTCTATAATTACCGAATATGATGTATGTAACATCATATTGAACCAAATACATAGAACAAAGCTGAGTATTTTATTTAGATTATAATGAGACAGTTTTTCAAACGTACGATACTATCTAGTTATCAACGTAGTGACATAAATTCAGAAATTTAAGATAAAAAACTGATAAATGTTTGTGTGTTTGGTGTGACTTGTGATGAAAATATGCAAACCTGGGATCACATCTTTGGATAAGCACAAAGCAGAGTATTATATACAAATTACAGTGTACTACTACTATATTACAATTAGTATTATACACATAGTATGCTAGTAATATACTTATATACCAATAACTCAATAAGTGGTATACTAGTATTATTAGTTTATTACACATTTAGACAATAGTACTTAGATACTAGTGTAGTATGAGTATAAGACTATATGTCTATATGTCTATATGACTCTAAGATATTGGATGAAGAGGACTGCATAAAAAGAACACATACCTTATTTAGAGCTGTGAGGAAATTGAGGCTGTTTGAGAAGATGAAGAAACTGAGGAGACTGAATAGTGATGTTTAGTGACTTGAGGTTTAGCGAGAAAACTTGGTTGTTTACGCTGGGTTTTACATGTTTTCATACGTGACTTAAGGGGTTTTATGCAGGTTTTACTTGTTTTACCCTATATTTTAGATGGGCTGAGTGTTATTACATGTATGGGCTAATTATTTTTGAATGTTATAAAGAAAACAAAAGGCTGTCAGCCTTTTTCGCACCAGGCGACCCACGCGCTCGACTTATTTCGCCTCAGCGCTTCATGCGCTTCTGCGCTTAAGCTGCACCTAACCCATCTATGTGCGCCTCCCCTTCTCCCAAGCGCTGTAGTCCCTGCTCATTGCGCCTGGTGCGCTTAAGCGACAAGGCGCGCGCTTTTGACTACTATGGTTTTGTGATTGTGTTGCATTTTTCATGACAATAATGAGATGAAACTCCGTCTATTTTAGTAACTGAGACTTCAAAGTTTCAATTTGTTTCATTGTGTATTAGTTGCATTAGCATATTTGGTAATCATAGTTTTGCAAAAAAAAAATCACGCTTGCACTTTCTCTGATGATTAAGTTTATATATGCTGTGTCAAGCATTTGCAATTGATTGTTTACATGGCAACAACAGAAAGCAATATGGACAGAACAGCGGCTGCTTTGGCTATGCAGTGGAGTGTAGATCTTGAGAAGGGCCTCCGTTCTAAACGATCAGGTAAAAGTTTAAGAGATGGCTTGGTAAGGCTTATTTGGCTGAATTCTATGAGAGGAAAAACATTTGGTAACATTTGTTTCAGCCGAATAAGTAGATGTTGGCAGTTGGCTACCAAACAGGGTCTAAATCTTGCATTTTCATTTTCTGAGCAGTTATGGTTCTTTGTTCTTATTGCTAACGGGATAGATTAATTTCCCCCAAAAGGAGAAACGATCCTCTAAAGTTAGTTCAATATCCCTTTTCTGGGGGTTTTCATTTTTCTATTAGTGATTGGATTATCATTATTCAGGTGAAGCCATTCTTCAGATTGGACAGAGACTTCAACAGTGGAATAGTGAATCTATTCTTACAGTATCTGAATACAAACTATTTGGATTGATACCTGGAGAAGACAAACTATTTGCGGATGCAGTTCTTCTAAGGCTTGCAGAAGCATTCAAGTCTGGGGACAAACACACAAGGGTGTGCATTGTAAAGATTTTCATGTTGAAGAGGAGGGGATGGGGTTGCCATGGCATTATATCCAAGGGCAAGTTGGGCAGCCATGTAGAGCTTCTAACAAGAGTGAAGTCCGTATTCGACACTGGTGATTCGGAGGATAGAGCTATGACTTTGGTTCTATTTGGTTGCTTGGCAAGCATTGCAAAAGATAATGCGGATATAAGATGCATCATCCTTTCAAGCTTGGTTTCAAAAAATATTCAGGAGGCAATGTCCATTCCTTTATAAAATAATGCTTTGAAGTGCTTTAGTAAAACTAATAACATCACTCTTAAACTATGAATCCTATGATTGAATAAAAAATAAGTATTCTGTTCTGAAAATCCCCTACTTCCCCATCTAGGCTTAATTGGTCACCTACCAAACTGACCCTGCTTAATTGTATCACTGCCCTGCCTGAGCTTTAGTCCCCAGTCCACTGCGTAATCTTTTTCAAGAAACATACAAGTGTTTATCTTTTACCATTACACAATAAAGAGAAAATATGACAAGTTTGTTCCAATTCAGTTATCCTATTTGTATAAGGTTGAAATTAAAATTACTCCATGTGTTTTAAATAAATGTAACAAATGATTTATTTCTGCTTATGGCTCTTCTCTTTTTGTCTTTTGACTTTTTGAGAGACATGCGAATCTGTGATTTCTTAATTGGTCCATTTGAGTAGCTAGGTTCTGTTTTTTAGACAAATAAATAACATTGTAACAATATATCTACAGGTAAAGGCATCTTTATTTGCTGCGGGATGCTTTTGTGAATTAGCTAATCATGATTTCGCTGCTGTACATTTGGAGATGCTTGTAAATTTGATGTCGCCTGAAACGCCAACGGCTATAAGGTTAGCTGCAGCCCGAGCTTTTGCACAAATGTGGTTCTCAATATCACTTGCAGATAGAGCTTACAAGGTTCTGCTTTTATTTGGTCTTTTCTACGACTCTCATCAAACAATTAATATGATTGCTGACTAGTTATTCGTCTTTTTCTCACTTATTTGGTACATAGGCAGTTCGTCTAAAAAAAGCTACAACAAGTGTACTAAAAAGTCGTACACCAAATAGCTCTGTTTTTCATATTTGTTAACTGTCATTGACAATTTCTATATGTGAGTGTGGTAGTTATATTTGTGGAATGAAAGAGTTCTTTTTTTGTTTCAAATATTAATTTATCATGGATAAGTCATGCCATTATTTTTCCATCATTTGCAATGGAGCCAAAGATTCACTATTTGTTGGCTTGAGAATATGATGGAATAAAGCAAAATGGCTCACTAAACTGTCTGTCCTTCTTTGTTATGAAGCAGCAGTCAGTCCATGCAATTTTGGACGCGATTTTCACTATGGATCATCCGGAAACAGTCTCTCCCTGCTTTAGTACAGGGGTAAGACTGCGTACATCCGACTCCTCCTTACCCCACCATAGGTGGGAGCCTTTGCGGCACTGAGGTAAATGATGATGATGAAGTTATGCCATTTATGTGCATATGTGGTGGTACGAACTTTTGTTGCAGCTGTGCAGGGCCAAGTTCTAAGTGTTGTATTATTATTGCAGACAGGTGTGAAGCTGATGTTAGACTACCTCCCAGAAGATGAGTTTTCCAAACTTATGCTGATTTCGCTTTCAAAAATTGCTTCCAAATGGACCTCACTGATTCCTGTACAGGTAAACCTAACTAAGTGCAAATAGAAAAGTGAATTAAGTATTCCACTCATTATTATTTTTCATTTTTCTGATGGACAGGTAGAGTTGCTCATCTCATTAATTTCACAGGAGATGAGAGCTTCATGCCTGCAAGCTACTGCAATAAAATGCCTTGACTTTATTTTATGCCGTGTAGTTATCTTCCCTCAGAGTACTACACACTCGGTTCTAAAGTTTTTCGAAGTTCTGAATGAATCCAAATTATCTCCAGATTTGCGGTGTGTAGCATTAAATATCTTTTACAAGGTATTCTGCAGCCTGAACTACTAAAGTATGGTTGCATTTGGTAGAATGAATTAGCTTATTCTTCTTATTAGCTTTGTTGTTTGTAGCATTTAAAATGTTTTACAAGGTATTCTGCCACCCGAACTACTAAACTATGGCTCCGTAGTATTAATTGGCTAATTCTTCTTAAAAAAAGTTGCCCTTTACTTATTTCGCTGAAATGGATGTATCAAAAACTTTTTTAAGAAAGTTTAGCAATTTGAGCCATAGCCATTTAATCCAAATGACTCTTACCAAAGAGGATCTATTTGTAGTAGCGATGTAATATTATTTATAAGCCTCTCTAACTTCTTTCGGTTTTTACAGGTTTTCTTGTATAATTTACACAAAATTTCTCATGTGGAGGCCATGACCATTTTCCCCAAATTCCTAGTAAGTGTACAACTGATTTCAGAATCTTCAGTTAGTATGATCTCAGAGAGGTTATTAGCCATTCATATTTTAGGAGATGTTTCTGTCAAACTTCTTGAAAGAATGGAAGAGGAGGCATCATCAGATCAGATAAGCTCCACTGTGGCATCTAAAATAATCTCATTTTCCATGGATCGCCTCTCTCTCATGGTTATGACGAATAAGTACATTCTTCTTCAACCTAACGGTGTGGTGGATCAGGAGATCAAATGCTTATTCAGTCTCTTACTTGATTTGTTTGAGAAGAAGCAAGAACTTGGTGCCGTTTTACTGGACAAAATCTGCTTATTTATTACTGGCTTGGTGAATGCGTGGAATGAAGTTACAAGAAAGCCAAATATTGAAGATAACTCCATAGATCCTTCACGTTCAGAAGAGAACAGTAACCCGACTGCACTTGAAAGCATTATGATATGCGCATCAAAGGTTATTCGTAACTGCTTCTTCCAGAATCAAGAAAAATTGAGTTCAACTTCTGAGGTTATTGGCACTATCAAGGTCCTTGTAAACCATGTATGTGGTTGCAGATCACTACATATTCATATACATGTAATCTATAACCTCTTACTACACTCATGCTTGAAATACAGTTTATTGTGCAAATTTATGAATTCTACTGAAAACTTCTGCCCCTCTCCTCATGAGTATGAGCATTCTACTTCTGAATATTTGAGGGTTATTTTGGGAAGAAAAGAACATTGGCTGTGTTACAAACTTGGAAAGTTTGCAGTATGTCGGGGAGCATGGGTTACAGCAACTCTTATATTTGAACAACTTAGTACTACTGTCCAATCCGAAGCCTGTCATTCTTGGTTGGAATCCCTGACTTGCCTCTCACGTACGGAAAGGGAATTTCAATCGTTGGTTAACTTTGATCTCACTCAGATCACGACTTGTGGAAAAAGTTCTTCCATTGAAGCTATTCTAGGTGCTTGCAATGACCTTCGTTCTTCAGTGTGTAGACTTGGTGGTGGTGACAACTCTACTTCAGGCCCCGCTTTCTGTTTTCAGAGATGGTTTCTCACTTTGAGAGTAAAGGTTGTTGAAGCGGTGGTAGATTCTATTAAACTGTTGATATCAACATATTCTTCTTCTGCTACATCATATTCACTGGAGAACCCTTTTGGCCAAGTGTCTGAGAGGATGAAGAGTTTATCACAAGAATTTGACCTTTTTGCTACATCTTTCATTGGCATAGACAGAGAAAGTAGGACTATTGTCTCGTCACTTTCTCAAAGTTGCTCACTTTTGGCCTTCGCAACTGCCTTCTTAAATTGTCTCATGACAAATTATTCAGAAGGTATCATCAGTGCTCAAGTGGTGGATGAGCAATTTTTTGCTATGTTATCACATGATTGGTTATGGCACATGGACAACGAAACCAGGAAAATACTGCTTTCGAAGCTCACTTTAAATACGTTTTTCCTGCCACAGTTGAGAAATCAAAGTTCCAACTACTCTGGAGGTTGCGAAGTTGCAAAACTTTGTAGATATGCTGTAAGAGTTATTCTTAAACTGCAAAATGAGCTGGTTACTGATAGTAGATCACTTGATGGTGATGATCTTGAGGAGATCAACAAATCCAGGTTTCTCAGTGAGGCCTCCAAGCGGCTGTTCAGCGTTCTATCACTTTGGATCCAGATTACTTGCTGGACCCCAAAGCACTTCTTTCACCTAAGGTATCTTGACATTGATGATCTTGATCATTTTTTCTTTTGCACATCCTACTCATATCAACAACATATTTTAATACTCCAGTTTAATTAATGATTTAGAAATGATAAAAACATGATGTGTTGTAATACCCAAATTTTCTGAAGTGGATGATTCTATTAAATTTGTGGCTGAATTTGCTTAATTACGTAAGATATTAATTCAGATGAATTTTATACATAAGTTAAAGAGAATAATATATAAAATGATGGTTAAAGTGTCATTTTACTCATCAGTTTTTTTTTGTTACAATTTTACTCATTAGTTTCCTCCATTTCATCCATAAAGTAACCTCTGCACTTTTTTCAGCAGTCGGTTCAGCCACTGCAATGAAGTGAAAAATAAATGTGAAATAAGTTAGTGCTATGTGAAAAAGGTAGGTGATAAGCTGATAAGCCAAGAAAAGGCCTACCAAGTGAGCACTTAACGTGGGTGACTGTCAGTCTCTAAGTTCTATATATCCTATTAAACTATATTATATGATATTTGAATTAGCTGAAAATAATTGCAGGCCATATGTCGGTTCCGAGTTATTCTTGATAGGAGAGGATGGAGAAAAATCAGACGGTTTATCTGTGTCATCAGGCTTCGTTCTCCATCTGAATTTGTGCCTTCAACTAAGCAACAACCCCTGCAAGATCTCCAAGTTGTATTGCGTTCTTCATTCAAGACCAACATCCTTCCAAAAATGTTCCCATGGTCGCAACAATAAGGAGCATACAAAATATCTAGGCTCCCAAAATGAAATTGATAACATGGTATATCTGAATATAATGTTAATGAAGTACACCCGAGGCAGCATTGATGATGATGATACTAGAGGAGGAAGTTTCAGCTTTGTGTGTTTAGAGGTTAACAAGAAGAAATGCCAAGGATTCTCAACCTGCGTGCTGGATACTTCTGCATTTCCTGTTGGTTCTTATGAAATCAGATGGCATAGCTGTTGTATTGACAATGAAGGTTCATATTGGAGCTTCATCCCTGTCCATGGTACCAGCTTCGCATTTACAGTAAAGTAGTACTGTAGTACCCACTAATATTTACCCCAAACATTGGCCGTTTTATTTATTTATTTATTTATATATTTTCATATATACACCATGAAATTATTAACTCTTGTGACTTTAACATTCTATCCACACATCTTGTCAAACAGACCCACACATGTGTTTGGCAGGACATAGTGACCTACGATGAGAATTGAAAATGGAGGTCCCTGTAATCTATTTTGTAAGAAAAAAATGTGTATTTTTTTTACCCGGTAGATAAACCATCCATCGGTGGGGTAAATAGCGGGAAACATATACAAAGGATTTATTAAAAGAAAATGTGTGTAATTGATAAGCGATAACAAAAATTAGTTGACAACTAATGCAAGTACAAAACGTTAAAAATAGGTTCTATAAACCCAACACAATGTATTTGCACCACCAAATGCAAGTGAACGGCCATATGTATAGGATGAACACATGATTTATGTTATTTGGTGTATAGACATTACATCTGATCCACTTGCAAAGAATCTAAAAGAAGTATTGTTTTTATTCACTTTTAGAGCTAGATCTGGCACATGGATTCGAATGATTAAGTAAATTAACACCCAATTGCGTGTACCTTAAACACCCAATTTAGGATATCGAACGTCAATCTGTTTTGGATTTTTGGTTATAGGCGTGGAAACGTTCGAGAATCCCTGCTATAGATCTAGCTGCAGAGGAGAACAAAATCAACGCTTTTATCGAACGTTAAAGGAAATTTGCAACCGATTGTGCCCATCAACTATTTGCATAATTGCATTTTACTCAATTTAGTTTTTTTTACTTAGTTTAACCCTTAATTGTACATTTTGAATCCAATTTAGTTCATAAATATAAGGAATTTTAAAATCTGAAGACCAAAATGATATTTTGATCGGTCCCTAAAGTGTCATGCTTCAAAATCCCTGTTGCCCACATAAAGTCTTATTTCACTGATGAAAGCTATAACTTTCATGCAGTTTGCCAACGATGGGAAAAAGATCTAAATAAGACTAAAACAAAGGCTGTGAAGGTAAATAGGAGTTGATACTTTTTAAATCATAAATATGACTAAATTTGAACGGATGGACAATTATACCCTTACAAATGCAGCTGGCAGCTGCTACCAAAAGCTCCCGTGTTCGTTGCTGTCTGCTCGTCTATGATTCAAGGTAACCTGCAACAGTGTTATTGACGTGAAACGAAGGCCGCCGAAGCTCCTTGTGGGATTATCTCTTAGATTCACGAGAATAATCTGCCTCCATAGCACCCAAGGTGACCTGCTACTTGTCCCCTACGAAACACGCTTTTGGTTGTAGATTTTCTCAAACACTTGATACTTGAAGGTGATACTTGAAGGTGTGTGGACTGAATCCGGATGGTGAGCCTTGCGGAAACCACAGGAGAATCTGGAGAACAAGAAGTTGTGGTACTTGTGAGTTTTCCTAGCAGCGAAGTGGTTGGGCGGGGCAGTGACATCAGCATCGGCGGAGGAATCGGAGCAGCAACGATAACAGTCCATCATTATTTGCTCTAAATCACTGGAAGCTATCAGGCCATCCGCCATCATCTACTCTACTGGAAGCTCAATCTTGTACATGGAGAAACTATTGTGCAAGCCCCTTTGCAGATGACAATGTCATAAGAAGTCAATGATAATGTCATAAAAATGTCAATAAAAAATAATGTCAATGACAATGTCATAAGAATGTCAATAAAAAACAATGTCAATGACAATGTCACAAGAATGTCAATGACAATGTCATAAGAATGTCAATGTCATAAAAATGTCAATGACAATATCATAAAAATGTCAATGACAATAGAATACATTCCTTATTTCTTTGTTTTCAGTTTGTTGATATCATTTATCAACATATGAATAATGTGACAATGTTGATATCATTGCAAAATTATCCGACAATGCGACTGTGTTTTCGTTGATGATAATGTGATGTCACAATTTTTACAATGACAAATTTTTAAGTGATGTCACAATTCCTCATCAGCAATTATATCTACATGTTAAAAAAGTATTCATTATAAAAAGTATTTATTAAAAAAGCTAAAACAAAAGACTGGATGTTGCAATTTTTGACAGCAACACTGCGTTTCAACTTCCAACTTCATAAAAGAAATTAGAAAAGAGGAAACAATAATAAACAAAACAATTCCTTTCAAAAAAATAATTAACAAAACCAATTGAATTATACGGAAAACAGAAGCAAAAGAAGAGTTACTGAAGCAAAAACAAGAGGTGGTAAAACAGAGCAGCTATGGAAGCTAGCGACGGAAGCTAGAAAACAGAGGGAAAAGGTTCGAATTCGAATTCGCTTTTGTTCCGGGAGCGGGAGATGCAGGGTTTTCTCTAATCTCAGATTCTCGGCCTATCAAATCTTCTACAACGGACAGTTCTGGACGGTGTATCCAATTTTCAACCGGAATCTACTCTCAGATGATAGGAAATTGAGCAACGGCAGCTCTAAATCGACACAAGAAGAAGAACTCGGGAAGTCCCAAGGTGAGGTGGTTGGGCGGCGTTCCTGTTGTTGCGGCCACCGTCACTGGTGGCCTCATTCGCGTTAGAACAAAGAGGCTGGAGCGGAGATGAGAAGCGCTTGTTAGACCAGACGGATAGAGAATGGAAAAGCACGAGCACGTCTCAATCAAAATGAGGGGCAAATTTGGCATTCAGTAAAAAAGGTCCTATTTCAGTATAAAAAAGTCCTTGATGTACACACTTGTACACACCTTATACACACCATGTTTGTGAAGCTTTTTTTTTTGTCTGTGAACCCGATTCATAGACAATATTTTGTTTGTGCAAAACATTGTCTATGAATCGATGTTCACGGACAAAAAAAAACTTTCACAGACATAGATATGTACAAAAGTGTGTATAAGAGTGTGTACAAACATCATTTTTGTAAAAAAGTAGGTGATCCTATTCGGTGTATATGACTAAAGTTATGGTCTTATTTAAGACCATTTCTCTTCTTTAGTTGGCTATTATTCACTTATTCAGTCGTCCCAAAACAGCCTCTTAGAAAATCCGAGGCCATAACGTCTATTAACCGACATTTATTAGTGGTTATGTGGATTGATCAAAATGCAATGCCACATATATTAAATGGATACTAGGATAAGAAAACCCTCTCCAATGCAATCGTCTATTTTGTAGTCGCGCTGAGGTGGAAATGCAAAGTAATATGGGTAATTTGAGTTTGCACTCCCTTTTATTGTTCAAATTGGATTTTGCACCCCATTTTTAAAAACATTTGTACTTGCACCTCAACCCTGTATGAAAATATAAAAATGCCCTCAATCAGAATATGTTCAAGGCCAAAAAATTGTTAATGGAGGGACATTTTTGTCTTTTCATACATACGGGGTTGGGGGTGCAAATACAAAGATTTTTAAAAACGGGGTGTAAAGTCCAATTTGAACAATAAAATGGGGTGCAAACTCAAATTACCTCAAAGAAATTACTGCAGACCTCTCATCACTCAATCCTAATGCAAGAGTCTTATAACAATAAAAGTAACCAACAGAAATATAAACAAACTGGTCATGAAAAATAAAAAGCAAGCTAAGCAAACAGTAAAATTCAAATACTGATTCCAAACCCTAAATTCTTTTGCACTCCATGTCAGCGGTTCAGGAGGGGACGATCCAATAGTATTGTAACTTCTTCCACTCCTTACCCTCGGTCCAGATCTGTTCCACGTTTCGTCCATGACCTTCATATCTCAAACATGAACGACATCCTCAAAACACTCCACCTGCTACTTCTTAAGGTTTGACATCAGTATTCATAATTCTGCATCTTTCTTGTGCTTCTATACTCTTCAAGTATTTGTTGTTGGATGTCCGTCTTCATTTGCTGACTAACGTTTCACTTGATTATTGTTTTTGGTGCAGTACCGCTAATGGATGGATAGACCATCCTCTTCCAGAGTTCCAGTTACAGTGAGAGCCGCCTTGTTCGTCCTCGGTTGTCCCCGAATCCTCCTCCTCCGCGTCCTCATCTTCGAGCTTTTCCTCAATGTGGGGGATGTCATATTGTTGATAAAAGCAACCATCTTGTTGGGCCAATATTTGTTGTAGTTGAACGTCGGACACCGCATCCGCATCTCTCTGTTGGTAATCCGTTTCAAAATCATCTCGGCTTTGAGAAGAAGACCCGATATGTCCTTTACCTTTGCGTGAAGTAGAATGATTCCTCCCAATCTCCTTCTTCCGGTTGCGTCGGAGGTTACCCATATCTACAGAATGTCTACCACGTTATCTTAAAATGTAACAATACTAAAAATGTGACTTTTATATTAAAATGTAAGTAATGTGATTATAATATAAAAATGTGACTTTTTTTTATTATAATGTGACTAGTAAAATAAAAGCAAAATTCCAAGTAGTATAATAAATACTTTAATCCAACTAAAATTGCAACTAGTTTACTAGTTTAACTAACTAAAATTGCAACTAGTTTTATATTTTAATCTAACGAGTGTAGTAAATTAACTAAAACTGCAACTAGTTTAATAATTCAATATAATAAGTGTAGTTTAATTAACTAAAATTGCAACTAGTTTAATAATTCAATATAACAAGTGTAGTTTAAATTACTAAAATTCCAACGGGTTTAATAGTTTAATTAACTAAAATTCGAACTACTTTTATATTTTAATCTAACAAGTGTAGTAAATTAACTAAAATTGCAATTAGTTTAATAATTCAATATGACAAGTGTACTAAAATTAACTACAATTGCAACTAATTTAATAATTCAATATAACAAGTGTAGTAAAATTAACTAAAAATGCAACTACTTTAATAGTTTAATTAACTAAAATTTTAACTACTTTTATATTTTAATCTAACAAGTGTAGTCATATTAATGAAAAATGTAACTAATAGGAAAAATGTATAAATGTGTCTAATTAATGGGAGTATGAGTGTGTAAGTAATAAGATAAATTTAACTAATATTAATTCAAGTGTAACTAATATATAATGTATTGTTTATAGTATATAAAATATAGGTATACTGCTATAAGATGAGTAGTACACTTATATTTAATACTTTAATATATTTATATACTTCAATATATTAATTAGATGTAATAAGTGTAGCTATAAGTAAATAACAAGTATATAATAAGTAGATATTAAGTACTACCTCCGTCCCAAAAAGGTTTGCCAGATTGACTTTTCTTAGTCAATGATAGCAAACTTTGGACAATGATTTTAATTATTATATTCATATATAATTTATAAATTTTATACTTTTATGAAAATATTTTGAATAAGAAACAATTTGATATAATTTTCAAATTCAAAATAATTTCGTATTAGAAATATCATTGGTTAAAGTTGATTGTGATTGACCAAGAAAAGTCAATTTGGCAAACCTTTTCAGGACGGAGGGAGTATATATTAAGAAGATACTCCCTCCGTCTCATAAAGTTCTTCCCACTTTCCTTTTTGGGTCGTCCCAAAAAATTCTTCCCACTTACCATTTTTGGACAATTTGTGTGGTTCACATTCATTTCACATTTTTCTTACACAACTACAACAACACATTTCCACTTTATTCCACTTTCTTAATCTCCGTGCCAAGTCAAAGTGAGAAGAATTTTCTAGGACGGAGGGAGTAATAAATATGAGTAGATATAATATATGTATTTATAAGTAGATTATAAGTATATAAGTAGATATAATAATTGTATAACTTATATATAATACTCCCTCCGGTCCCTATTAAAGTTCTCACTTTCCTTTTTGGGATGTCCCTTATTTAAGTTCACACTTCCATTGTAGGAAACAAAACAGTACAAAACAGTGCCAAACAGTGTCAAACAGTGTCCAAACAGTGCCAAACAGTGCATTCCACAGTAAAGTCAAATTTATTTTTTTAATCTGTGTGAAGTCAAACTGGGAACTTTAATAGGGACCGGAGAGAGTATAATGTTTATAGTATATAATATATAAGTATACTACTATAAGATGAGTAATACACTTATGTTGAAGAGTATCTTTTCAGCTAGTTACAGTATCTTTTATTTGATAGACCATTCATTTTTTCCAACCAATTTGTGCCCATGATTTGATGTTTTTGAGCGGGAAGTATACCTAATATTTCACTCCGCTTTGTATATAGATAGATTGGTCAAATACGGTTCATCAAACTACGAGTATTTTTTATTCTTTTCATTGATTTTGATCAAAAAACTTATTTATAAGGGCGTAGAAACTAAAGGGAGTTGGGTTAAGTATTGAGATTGCTTTTGAAAAAAAAGGATATCACTCCCTCCCTCGGGATAGATATTGAGTTGCATTTTGATGCTAGGTGGTTTTAGATAAGCCTCCATCAACCGTTGTACATACCTCCCTTTACGAATCGAAGTTACTAACACAGTACAACAAATTATCCATGAGTTTTTCTCTTTAAAGAAAAGTGCTTAAATAAAAGTTGCTTAAATCACAAAAACTGCAGAAGGAATGGCCAGATGTATCCATATTCTGGATACTTCATTTTAACTGAATTCAATTTCCAAATGAATGGAAACAATTATTATGCAAACTTTAGCAGTAATTGGTGAACCTTGAGGATATCTCTTTTTTCTCATCCAGTTCTGGGCTAGATCTCACGTATAATAACAAAGGCAGAAGAGCTAAAAGTTGGATATCTCTTTGTACATCAAAGTTTAGCTGTTAAACAATGAATGGAAAACTTGGAGGGAGCCTCCAACAGCTAACTAAATCAAGTTTCTTGCACATGCCAGAACAAAAAAAAACTGAATACCCTCCTAAAAAGTTAGTTGTTGATCATTCATGAACTGCCCTACGAAACTGAATGCCTACCCCTTCTTACAAGTGTTGATTTTGCTTCATCCATGTTAGTGGAAGAGACAAGACTATCAGATGAATCAGACCCACTGTTCTCCCCCAGTCCAACACCGCCACGTTTACTTGACCTCAACATTTTAGAGAAGATCCGGTTAGACGTCAACAACCCTTTCATTTTGGCCTTGTTATCAGCTTGCCCCGCATTTTTTACTCTCAAGCCTTTAAGCTCATTACCAGCAGTGTCCCATTCTTCTTCGGTGTTACTTGTCTCAACGGATCTTGAGCTCCCCCCGCAGGAGGTGTTGGTAGTAGTTTTGGGTTGATCGGGAGTTGTGCATCCACAAGACGAATTTGCCCTCACCTGCTCGAAAAACAGAACCTGCACAACCACACGCATCGGAAGTCTCTCGTTCTGGACAGCATGCTTGCAGGCTTCTGCTGACAGCTTTTTGCAGTCCATCAGTTTGCATATTCTCTTTCGCTCGCTCTTGCTCATCCCCGGGTGTTTCTATAGCAATACATCCGCCATGCACATCATCAGAAAAGTATACATATTTATGTTATTCCTGCCTTCCCACTATTGACTCTTAGTTTGAATTTGTACAGTTTTCAGTAAATGCTTAAAATTTGTTTATAGGACAAAAAAAAAATCGATCACAGAATTACTTCTTAAAAAACAGATTCTATAGGAAAAATAAGAAAGACGAGTTTTTTTGGGGACAAAATTAAAATTTACATGTGGATGTTGGTTACTATGTATAAGAAGTTGAAAGTAATTATTCTCATGGGTAGGTTAGGAATTAGATTCAATGTAAGGGTATATGGTAATTCCATTGAAAATAATTTTTGTGGAAGCACCCAACGCCTTACAAGTTTCATATTACTGACCCATTGCGAGTTATGTTTGGATGTGCTTATGGAAAAGCTAGAAAGTGTTTTAAATGTAAAAAATGTAAAAATGATGTTTGAGTTAAGAGCATAATAAAATACATGAATTTTTCTGAAATGTGATGTTAATACTTGACAGGGGTTTCTCTCCAAAGTGCATTTGAGATAAATAAATATTTCGTTTGGAAATTCCAATAAGAAGTATGTCGTCAACGTATTGTCAAACGTTATGTTATGCTTCTTTTTAATATACGGAGTATTTATTAAAAAACACTTCTCATAAGACTGCTTTTAGCAAAAGCACGTCTATATATAAAGATGATGAAGAAATAGTCACAAGAATAACATGCATAATTCAAGCATACACCACATGCTTGGCTAAGGGTTTCAGATTCTGAAAATGGAGCATAGAAATCTCACCTTGAGGTAAATGTCAATAGCACGGTAAAGTCCATCATGAGAAGGGCGGGGAAAATCAGAGGCCATCTCAGCCAACTCAATAAAAGTCGTCAATTGAAGATTAGGATCTTCTTCTGAAATTCCAGCAAGGTACCCATCTATTAACTTTGTCACCCTCACTTTGGAAGCTTCTGATAAAAACCCGGCAGGCGACTTTCCAACTTCATATATCTCGTTCCCAGTTTCTCCCAATGGGCCACTTCCACGCAACATAAACTCCTCTACTATTTCCTTCACAACGTCTGAGGCCTGAAGAGAAAGAAGATCAATCACGGATGCCTCCTCGAGTTGATGTGCGATTCTTTTGACCAGTTTACTAGTAGTTGGCCCGCCAGAATCATCAAGTGAAAGGGATAGTTTCAGCAATTTGAGCATAAACCCACAAGTCACACTACCTTTCTTAGCAGGTAGAAGCCACACTATGGTGTCCAAAATCGACTGAGCATCACCATTATTCTTCTGGAGCCTTCTTGAAGCATAAGCTTTCAGAGCTTCTCCAATGACTTTATCAGAAATGATCCCTTTGTTCTTGATAGAATTTATAACGCGCTCATATAGGTCCACTTCAAGTTCACACAAGTCATCAACCCACCAATCCTTCGGCACCATCCTGCGGGCTCTTAAAGAATCAATCTTTTCCCTGTTATACATATAGGACCAATCCACCTTTGAAGGATCAGTAGATGCCTTGGAAGCTATAGCTTCAATGCAATGGCTGACCAACTTCAGCTCCTCGGACATGGGTAGGTGAGAGTTTGTAGTCTGGAGGCAAATAATGGAATCTTTCCAGCTTTTGAGAATGCTTGAGTTCAAGAAAATGTCAATCTTGTAAATAAGATTTCCTTTTTCGACATCTTCGTTCATTTCCAGATATTCAGCAGCACAACGAGATGATATCACGTTGTGGGCGTTCAGCGTGACGGTCACACCGTAACAGAATTTGGCGCATATTTCGAATGCGGTGGGCCCACCTGGGATGTCATGGATATAAACCTCATTGCCAGGCCCCTCGTTTGAGTTTGTAACCACTTTTTGCAATCGAGCACTCTTGGAGAGAAGAGGGAACTGCACCACAACAGTTGATCAGTAGTATGATGTTAATTTTCTTTTTAGGCATCGTTTTGGTTGATTTGGTACTTGGAGTTGGAACTAATGACAAAAATGTGAAGCTTAAGACACATGGATTATGGGGGTGTTTTTTTGCAAAGTTGACTTTAATGACCGTTATGATATTCAATCTTACACCGAAGCGACCGTTGATCATTTTTGCAGTAATTGTAGTAATATTATAAAAAACCATCGATTTGTTAGTGGAAATAGAATGATAAATAATGACAAATACAATACTCAAAGGACAAAAATGTGACTTTAAACATGTAGCAACCATGGTTGTATGCAGTTGAGTATAGTGATCATCATGATGATGGTCAGTCTTATACTACAGTGACCATGGTTGTATCTTCATAGTGACTTTAACCATGTCAGAAAAATCCCATTGATTTAATGGCGGATAGATAAAAAATTCAGTTGAAGTAATTAGATATTCCTTTTCAATCCTAGGAAATCACTCTCAGTACACATTAATATAAGTGTCCCCAATTCAAGATTTGATAAAATCTAAGAATTTCCTGGACTTTTTGAATCATAATGCGGGCATCAAAACCCATTCCGGGGATCAATAGACAAGACAAGACCTTGGGGTTTGTGGTATTTACAGTGCGGTGTGGAAAGCTTATAAACAGTTTAGAAAGATAGTAAGCTCATCGAGTCCAGAAAAAGAAAACCACACAATACAATGACCAAAATTCCTCAAATAAGGCGATCCCTGAACAAACGCAGTGACGGAAGCATTTTTCTTAAAATAATTAAGGACTGTTACAACAATGTATGCTTTTGAAAGAACCGCAATGAGACATATGCATATTTTGTACACTTGTTCACATATAAATGAAAATAAAATAAAAACAGAAGCATGTTTGATTTTTTTATTTCACCTTATTTTAGTTAATGTTTTGACTTATCTAACGTAGAAAAGCTGCTGATATAACAATTATTTTAAAATAAACGAGCAGTAATCCTTTATCACCATACCTTATGCAAGTAAAACTTCACATCTCCTACGAAAATAACGATGTCTGAGGCCAACTCAGAAGCAACATATCTGCAAGATGGTTTCTCAGTTTTGGGTGATTAACTGAAGGAAGAAATGAACTCAGCGAAAAAGAAAAATGAAAAAGATAAACTGAGTATATCGTGCTTAAGTTAAAAGAGGAAAGTTTGATAAAAGGTATAAAATAAAACTCCACAAGGATCAACTGAACCCCAGGCAATTCAAATTAGTAAACAGTTTTCACATTAAACAAATTTAATAATGCAAAAAAATTACCTCGTGTTATTTCCTTCTGATTCAAAGCAGTCAGGTTTGGATCCAAGTTTCATGAACTTCATATTTGCAAGCTCTAAGATTATTCTCTTCCGTGGAACATTCAGTCTATACTCTAATATGACTCAACCTATAACTGTAAAATCAAATAATTCTATGGACATTACTGAAAAACTCAAATGTCTAAATGTAACTCTTTGAATGACCCAATATTTAGAATTGATAAAATGCAGAGGAAACTTCACAGGTAAACATAGGGAGAAATCGAAGAAAAAATTAAATGCAACTGTTTTGTACAAACAAAAAAATACAAAAAATGACTAGATTGGTTTTATCTTCAAACAAATTATTGACTTAAATGGGATGAAAGACAGAGAAAGAAAAATTATTTCCTTGACCATGGGTAAATGAGTCAGGTCCAGAGACATAACCGGAAGATTCTCAAGACTAAATTATACTATTCTCCAAAGCAGAAACGCGATTGTCTTATTAGCTTTCTCACCTACATTATTATAATGCCCTTTAATCTCGTTTCTTTCCAGCACAAAAATTCCAAATCTTAAAAAATTATTAAATAATAAATAAATTGAGGTAAACCTGCAATTGGTGGTATAAAGTTCCAAAGATCCACCTCACATAGAAATCACATGTATATATCCAGCGTGATTTGTGCGTTTATTTTAAAATACATATAAGCATTGAAAGCACCTGCAATGGAAAACAGCATCTTGGTGTTCAAAGTTTAAGAAACCGCCACAACAGAAGGCAACAGGAATCTCCCCAGTCCCCACAGATTTTGCAAAATTAAAATACTACGTTTTAAAAAAGTAGATAAGAAAATGAGAAAAACAGGAATTGGATAGCCATATAAGAAGAAAGAACCAAACTTCAGCAAAAAACAAAATCTGAGGCAACCCCAAAGAATTATTTCATCAAACGGAAAAATTTCAGTTTTTAAAATACGGGTAACCCAGAATTTATTAAAAAACACAATCTTGGTTCTCTAGCTCCTTGCTATTTTCAAGAACGTAACCCGATAGGCAATAACAACTCTCCAAGTAAAACTCGACGAAACCCAAGACTTGAAATTTACATCAACCCTTGAAGAACAAAAAAAGGAGCTTTTTCATATGCATTGAGGGAGAAGCGTCATTGGAATGATCACCCAAGAAATGTAACCTCCAATCTGCTTCGAGAAATTATATAAACTTGAAAAATAAGGTGAACCCACCTCACATGCACAAATCTACGGAGTAAGAAGATGAAGAAGAAGAAACATATGGTCTCAGAAAACCAACGAAGCGACTCAAGCGAGAGTAAAGACCAGTGCTTTATGTAAGTTTTTTGTGGAAACAGCCACAGTAGCAGATACATACTAGAAAAAGCCAAGCTTTCAGCTTACCCGTTTTGCTAGAACCAGAAATAAAGGTTTTGATACCAGAATTTCCTTTTATTGTTAAAAACAAAAGCAAAAGTGAACGTACAGCTTAGCTCAGAGTATTTTCCGTTTTTTGATACCACTTTGATCTCACACAATGCTTCTCTGCTATTGCTGTTGCTTTAAAAACCCTTTCGTTTTTTCAGGGGAAAGTGGAGGCTAACTATCGTCTTTTCTGTGTGCGAGATTAAGACACCACAGTTCATATAGAATTGTTCCGCACACCGCTCTCTCCACGCTTTCTTTTTGCGTTTCGTCCTGCCTTCGCTTCTCTAAAGTCAAATTTAAATCGGAGTCGGAAGTTTTATAGGTACGTGATCATACATACTCCGTATAATAATAATATACTCCCTAATATAATACTCTCACCTTTTGAAATGTTTCCAGTTTAACCTACACACATATTACGGAAATAAACTTAAAAGGGGTAAATTTTACTGTTTTGACATTGTTTCGACACTGTTTGACACTGTTTTGACACTGTTTGACCATGTTCTGATGTAGGATAACTTTCCATTTAGGCAAATAGGAATTTTCCAAAGGGACATCCAAAAAAGGAAAGCGGGAACATTCTAACGAGACGGTCTATGGGTTATTGGGTTGGGTTTTTTACAAGAATATTACGTACTAAAATAAAACATATTTACATAAATATGACTATTCATTACTACAATGTGGTATTGTGGTAGCATAAGCTCAAAATTTGAACATGAATTAGATTTCATTTTTACTCTAGTCATTAGTCATATTTTTGTAAATCATCTTTATTTTGGTCATATTTATGTAATTCTATTGAGTTATGTGGTACGCCAATTTGATATCAGCTGAAATTTAAGGTAGTTTAGCGAATATTTTTTCGACTTGTCAACCAATTTTTTTATTAAATATATGTTTTTTTTATTTCGTGTTTTGGATTTTATAATAATAAGGCTAAATTATTTTTCTAATTGAATTAGTTAAGATTACAATAGATTATTTTAGCTATCAACAAATTCAAAAGAAGATCAATTTACTATCATTTCAACAAATTCAACGACTTCAATTAGATCTTCATCATTTTCAGTACCGACAAACGGGCTCTGTTTTGGTGACCCCTATTATTTCGTCTTAACTATCCGTTTTTAAATCAAACACGCCACTTTTAATTTTGTGCGCTGAATTATGTAAAAATCAAAATAAGTAAAAGTTGGTGACTTGGAGTTATTATTCCGGTTGATTGACAGAATTTATTATAGATGATAATTTTAATTACTCCCTCTGTCCCGGTAATTTCTTCCAGTTTTCCTTTTTGGGCCGTCCCAATTAATTCTTCCAACTTTCCTAAAAAGGAAATCAACTCACACTAAAAACCCTATTTTACCCTCCCCAATAAAAAAAACCTTTTCCCATTCGCCTCCCCTTTACCCGTCCGCATCCCTCAGTAGCCGCCGACTTCAAAAATTTGCTCCTCCCAAATCTTGCCGCCGACTTCCAGATCCAAGCCCGAATAGTAGCCGCCGACTTCAGACCTCCTGCCGCCTCCCAAATCTTGCCGCCATAGCTGTAAATCTCGTAGTTTTCGTTGCTCCGGCTTATAGCATTCGCAGCCGCAGTGGTCCATGGCAAACTTGAAGTGGGACTCAGCTGACCAAATCCAACTGAGTCGTGGCAGCACCGCCCGCCAACGGCGACCATTCAAAGCTCGCTCCACTATTTCGCCAGTTGCTCCTCCGCCCAGCTCCTCACGTCTCCCCCCCACCTTCATCGCAAGTGTCCTCGCTGAGGATAAACAATGGCAGAGCGTCCGTCGCCAACCTGATGAAAGATAGGGCCGAGGGTCCCTCTCCTCTCCATCTCCAGCCGCAGCAACTGCCGGAGGGCCTTCACGGCGTGGTTCTCAACGACGGCTACTGTCTTTCTTTTTATTTTTGTTTAATTCTCTTTACCCGTTTATTGACCAAGGGTATAAGTGGAAAGTCAACCCCTTTATAAATTTGCATAAATTTGCGATACCGATCAAAACTGGAAGAAATGACCGAGACGAAGGGAGTATTTTTTATATGATTTTTTCTATACTTTATTAATAGAATATATTTTTAATATATATATATATTTTCATAAATCAATACAGTCATTCAATTCAGTCATTCTAACCACAACTTAATTATTTTGAGTAAAATCAATTAGTTTAAACAATGTCAATATTATCTGATGGGTTCTTAAAACGAAAAGTTCTAAAAGTGCTTTTCTCGAGCAAAAGAAAATAAATCCAATATGGTTTAAGGATGTTTTTACTTGGGCCGTAATTTGCTGGTCTGGTCTGGTCTGATCTGGTCTGGACTGATCTGGTCTGGTTTGGTCTGATCTGGTCTGATTTTTTTGTATTTTTATAACTATCCAAGTCTGGTCTGATCTAGTTTGATCTGAACTTGTCTGATCAGATCTGATCTGGTTTGGTGTTGTCTGGGACGAATTAGGGTGCAAGTAAAAACATCTAAGTTATCAAGTACTCCGTAGAAGATACATCTAAACGTATAAATCTATGCCCATATGATTTGGTTGGCTTGACTCGTTGGATAATGTGAGACTGTTGAAAATGTTTTCCCGACATACTCCGTATTAAAGAAAAAATGTACTCCTCCACTCATTTAAGTTTAACTTATTTTGCAAATTTAGAAAGTAAGGATAAAGTGAAAATGTATGATTGTAGTTGTGTAAGAAAAAAGTGAATGAATGTGAACCACATATTTTTTTCAAATGTGGAAGTTGAAAGAATAAATTGGGATGACCCAAAAAGGAAAGTTGGAAAAAATGACCGGTACGGAGGGAGTATGAAAAAAAAGTTAAAAGTTTTATACTCCATTTAGTTATGAATCAGACTTGGGGTACACACTTTGTGTACACACTCTTACACACTCATGTCCGTGAGGCGTTTTTTTATGTCTGTCCCGGACATAAAAAAACGTCTCACAGACATGAGTGTGTAAGAGTGTATACCCTACACGGATAGCTCAATTGGTCGAGTGGTGGAAAAATTGGACTAAGTGACCAAGGTTCGAAACCCGCAACGGCCGTGTGGAGGTTACAGAAGCTGAAATAAGGCTGGACTTTTGATGCGCACGTGTATAAGGCTTATCGCCGCTTTTGTGACTGAGTCACCGTGATTAACCTTTCCACCATTCAGTCGGGTCGGAGTGGGAGCCTTGGGGTTGGGTATTCAACCTTTTGGACCAAGTAAAAGTGTGTACGTGTGTACTAAAACATTTTTTCTTTAGTTATTTCGGTCAGTTCAACGAGCAAAGAAAACACGCCCCGTTTTCATTTCAAAAGACTCGTTGATGAGACTTGACAATAATAAGCAATTGAAACTTGCAAAATTATTGATTGATGCCAGTTGACTGTTACAAAAGATAAAGTAAAACCCACAAATTCGAATATACAGTTCTAACTATTTTCTAAAACAATCATAGTTTTGCAGAAGGTAATTGCATCCTCACATTCTGGCCCATCAGGTAATCGATCGAAACAACCCGCACGGGTAGCTCAGTTGGTCGAGTGGTGGGAGATTTGGAACAATGGACCAAAGTTCGAATTCCCGCAGCGACCAGGTGAAGGTCACAGAACCTGAAATAAGGTTGGACCTCAGGTGCGCACGGGTGTATGAGCCTGCTGTCATTCTGCTGATTGAGTCACTGTGACTAACCTTGCTCCCCATCATCCTGTCGGGTCGGGGTGGGGGGCTCCTGGGGTGGGAGATTCCACCTTTTATGGAACAAAGGTAATAGATCGAAACACAAACAGTTATGTCTCGACCTAACGAAATAGATCGAACTATTTATTAACAATCATAGTTCGTCAATAAATCTAATTCTCCACTATTTTATACATAGTCATCTAATTAATTCAGTTTTTTCATGTAACTCAGCACCGTCAATATATTCACTCAGCACATATTTTTTATAGCTAAATGCATAAATCCTTACATTTTTTATTTTACATTGTTTATATGACAATTTTATTTTCACCGATAACTATGATTTAAAAACTAGAACATTTTGATGTAACAATAAATAAATTTAGAGTTTAATTTTCTTTGTTATTTCAGACATATATTTTAGAAACATAATCAAAAGATGTAAAAAAAATTATGCACAAGATATTGTTTTAAACATTTGGATCTACTTAAGTATAATTTTGAGTCTAAAGATCTACATCAGATAAAACATCATTTTTTTACATTATATATCTGATATTAGTGTCATATGAAAGATCATAAAAAATAATGAATTTTTGTTGGGCCGCGGATATGCGGTGCCAGCAATATGCCACCCTACCGGTGCAATCGAACCGTGTGGCGCTTCACTTGTGCTATAAAGGGGGAAGAGCGTGCTACACTATCAGCGATTGCTTTTAGTGTAGCGGTAAGCGCAACGATCCATAAGTGGTATCAGAGCCAAGGTCACGGGTTTGACCCCCGGCAACAGCATGCTGCGCAGTTGAGGCTGACAGGTGCTGGGGGGAGATTGTTGGGCCGCGGGTATGCGGTGCCATCAATCTACCAGCCTGCCGATGCAATCGAACGACGACTCTGATCAGACCGATCTGACATTAAGTTTCATCTCTCTCTGCACACACACACACTCTCCCTTGGTATGTTATATTTGTTCACATTATGTTTTTCATAAAGTTTGCGAGTAAAATAATAGAAATAACAAAGAACATAGTAAGAGTAGAAGTGGAGGTGAAAGGTAGAAAATGTAAGGGTAAGTTGTTGGAACGAATCCATTAGCATTTTAATTTGAAATTGAAATTATTTAGAGAATTAACTAAGCGAAAGTATTACCCTACTCCATTGGAGATGATCTTTACTGAACCGGAACACGAAAGGTAGAGTTTGTGTCTTCTGGTTGATACACACAATTAATGATTTAGCTAATCATTAATTATGATTAAGTCCATGAGTCTCCATGCATTCGAGTCATATACTTTATAAGATAACATATTAATCCATTAATTAAAATTAATATTCATGGGATAACTAATTTATGGATCTAAACATATGATAGCATATAACATAAAATTACACTCAATGAATAATAAATTGTGAATATTACACGTAGTATGTGTCCATTAATATGACATAAGTGAGTATTTATTGAAATGAAAAGTTACCAAAAAATGAAAGCGTTACAAAATCCAATTATTCTCACAGAACTAGTTACCTGACACGAAAACTAGCTAGATTTGGATGACATCTACTAAGAACATATATAATTTCTGATTTAGTTTAGTTTGGAAGACTCATTAATTACCCTTAATATATATATATATATATATATATATATATATGAATATATATATATATAATGGAAATAGACTATATTAAAATTAATAAATAATACCACGTTACAATACATTTAAGATTATACCAACTCAAGACATAAGCCTAATAATTAGACTTTGACTGTGCTACTTATAAACGAGCCGCAGAATTCATTAATAACCATGTAATGGACAGACTGAAGTTTAACATCACCATGTAAGTTTTCATATTTCTATAGTGATTTGAAACACTTACAATTCTACCAAAAGTAAAATGAATAAATAAAAAGTACTTCGAAGTGTGAAATAGGCAAAACTTCAAAAAACAAACCGACTTAGGGATATAATAAAGCAACGTACAAGCCATCGATTTCAAGTTACGTCACGTCCTATCTGATTCCATTGTACATGCAGATCAATCTCGATTGTCTGAAAGTAAATGACATTTACTTCAACCTTATACTGTAAAGTTTGATAAAAGTCTCGTCCTACTCTTTCCTCATGTGGCAGTGGTTCTGGAGGAGGACAGATCATTAGTGTCATCATAGACAAGTTGAAAAACATAATTGTATTTGAGAAAAACACATCTAAAACTCATGAATGTCATCAAAAGCAATTGAATAGCATAACACCCTATAGGCAATTGCAACATCAATTTGAGAAAAAAATCACCAATTACACCACTGTCCGAATTAACAATTGCCTGTAAACTCTATATCTCCTCTCGAGCTTAAACAACTAAGCCTAGACAATCAAGAGCCTCTACCGTTCCTCACCACTTTGGCTGCTCACCCTTGTAAGGTTAGATGAGTTGAAGTATTGAGAGGTATATTCATTATTCTCTAGTACGGAATATTTCCTTTTGATTAATTTTTATTAGTTGACCCATTCATATACTTGAAAACTTGTATGAGTTGTATCATATACTATCCTCCGTTCCATAAAAGTTGCAACAGTTTGACTTTCACGTTTGCCAACGCGCAACTTTGACTGTAATTATATATATTTACGTATTAGTAAACATTAAAAAAAGTTAATATATTGGAAATTTATATTAATACAAATTTATTAATATTTTATACATAGTATTTTTTATATATATATTATTAGAAAATCGTAGTCAAAGTAAGGTGTGAATAGTGCAAAAATCCCAATGTTGCAACTTTTATGGAACGGAGGGAGTACTAGATAAGGGTCAGTTTGGTCCTCGAAGTTGCATAAAAGGGGTCAAATAAATCCTTATAACGTTCTTACTGTCCGGGAGTCGTCATTTGGGGGGTTCCCAGTGGAGTTTTTTTATAAAACTTTTTGAACATCTTATTCATTAAGTCTAGTTTACTCATACCAAATTTCAGATAAAACTTAAGTCGGGAAGGCATTCAAATAAAGTCTTGAAGATAATTGCGCAGTTAAAAGCGCAGTTATCTTCAAGGTGGAATCTCCCGCCCCAGGAGCCCCCACCCCGACCCGACAGGATGGTGGGGAGGTTAGTCACGGTGACTCAATCAGCAGAATGGCAGTAGGCTCATACACCCGTCACCCGTGCGCACCGGAGGCTCAACCTTATTTCAAATTCTGTGACCTCCACCCGGTTGCTGCGGGGATTCGAACCGTGGTCCATTATTTCAAATCTCTCACCACTCGACCAACTAAGCTGCCCGTGCGGAACAATGATAAATTAATACAATAAATGATCAAATCAAAATAGATAGTCATTCGCCAAATCGAAGACGATTTTCTTGAGCAGAAGATGTTGGACCACTGACTTCTACACACCCAATTCTTTGTTTTTGCCTTATTTGGCAACGTGTCTCCAATTGATTGGACCTCATGCTTGGGAATTACGTTTTTCTGATGTTAACTACGGAGCAGTGGAGTACTTATCGATTACTCCTAACATATAAATCGGCTGAATTAGTTTGTTAAAATTTATGAAGTTCACGTTGAAGTGGTTGAATAAGATCATTCTGCTGATTTATGAAAAAGTCATACTAGTATTTTTTTATAAAATAAATAAAAAATTATACTATGGTAAAAAATGAAAAATAGCTAAAATGATCTTCTACAGTAATTTCAGTCAATACAGCCAGAAAAGTAACTTCAACATTTCCTTTTCTTATTACTCCGTATTATACTTTTATCCGTCCCTCAAATGAAGGTGGTCGGACGGCGTTCCGGTCAGAAAATTTCCAACCAGAAGATGGCTCGAATATTTTATTCTACACATTTAAGTTTCACTTAATGCACAATTCAGCTCCACATAGTGCCACTGTGCCGTATTTGTATTTTTGTTGCTGCACATTTCGATTTCTCCTGTTGCACGTTCAATTTCAGATGATATCATTTAACCGATTTAACCGTGCAGATTCATTTTCATTTCTCTCTTAGGATCATTTTCGAACCGACTTCTCCTCATTCAACCCTCTACGTCTCCATCATAGAGTAGGGTGAAATGCAAATTTGGAAAACATATAAAGGTGGTAGAGATGAAAGGGTGCACATGATAGACTCTCCATGGAACAGTTGGTTAAAGAGGGGGGGAATAAATGCAAAGAGATGGAACAGGCTGTCCCTCTGATCTTCTGAAAGAAAGCTTTGATCATTCAAGGTTTTGTGTATTTCTTTTTCCATCGCGCACACACATATTTAATACACTGAGTACCCTATACTATACTCAAATTATAGTCTATAGCTAGCCACCAGTCTAAGTAATGGCTCACTCTTTTTCCAATTTCCCAGCTCCTATATGGCTATATAAATAATTGAACAAGTAATAAATGGTCATTGAGCTGGGCAGCTGGGCTTGTAAGTAATTTGATCGGGCTAGACTACTGGTACCACAGTAACAGCCTACCAAGAAATAATATTTGCTCTGCCCTCAGATATTTTTAGAAGAAGAGTTTACTCATATTTTGTTGGTTTGAACAACATCTGAGTAGAGTACGTTTGATAATACTAGAATTGTTCGAATTGGCTGAATCAACTGAATTACTGAAAATTATATTTAAAATATATTTTATTCACAAAATATATATAGTAAAATATTATATGACAAATAGTTAAAATGATTATACACGGTAATTTCAGCTACTTCAGTCAGAAAAGTAACTTTAAACTTACTTATATTTTGATTTGTACTTAACTCAGTGCGCGATACAAAAATTATGTGTTTGAAAAAAAAAAGATTGATAAATTGAATATAGAGGTTATCAAACGTGCTCTTAGTCTTTGTATACGTATGTGGGTATGTATGCAGAACAAAATAAAACATAATTTGTAATGAATATGTATGTGGGTGCATGATTGAATGTTGAGTTTGTATTTCATGTTAGTCTTTGCATCCGAGAAAGCGGTCTAGTTCAATAGATCATCGACTCACTCAAGTGGTTTCAAGTTTAAAACTCTATGGAAAGAATTTTAGTCCTATTTATTCCAAACTTCTCCTAGTCCTTCCCGGACCCTTGGGGGGAAGAATAATCTTTGCATCCAATCTTTAAATCCGCTTACCCGCTGAATTCACACCCAAAACTCCAAAAGTGGGATAGAAAGTAATAAAAATGAATCAAATTATGGGGTGCAAAACCCAATTTTTAGTTAAAATACGACGATTACATTCAAACTCAATTTTTTATGTGTTTACAACTTTTCCATATATCTACTTTTTTGTTCCTTTTCTGCTATCGACATATTAGTGATATAACTCAACCACTGCCTTGCCTCAAGCCTTGTATAGTTGTATACAATGCTTCCCATTGAGGACGTCCTAAAGATCTAATCGTCAAATAATGAGCTAGAATGGTTAGAGTCTAGCTTTGCTGGGTTAAAAGATAAATGAGCCTCTCAGGCAAACATTCAGCATCTACTCTACCGTAGTCCGGTAAATCTAGTTCACTTCCAACTTTATTGAGCATGATAATCTTAAATACTTTTAACATCAATGGCATAGCCCGTATAAAATATCCGAATGGGCTGGAAGAACTTATTCTTATAAGCCTTTGCAGATAAAAAGAATTACCAAACTAGCGGTGAGCGTAGACCTATGAGAGACTTACCGACATCCCTGTTCAGCCTTACCATTCACCACCACAATCACACCAAACTTTACAAATATAGCAAATACAGTTGTGATTTTGGATAACATCTACTAGTTTCCGCAAAATAACGCATTCACTCACTCTTCTAGAGTTCGAGGTAGTTGCCCAGATGCAGCACCACCTTCAGGAGCAAATACTCTGTTCATAGAAACAGACGTACACACATATACATGGAACTGATAGATACCTGCTATCAGTATTACCCCAACATGGTACACGATTCAGCAATTAGAAAAAAAATCGTGATGGACAAGTCTCAGCCAATTGGTGAATGAACCTGAATAAAAACGCCGTTTTGGCCTACAGAATAATTTCTTGAAATAAAACTCGAAAGAAAAGGGGTGCAAAACAAACACAGTCTTGGAAGGAGAGTAACAGATGGGGGGATTATGAAGCCAGGAGCGCTTCAATTTTGGCAATCCGATCTTCTTCACTCTGTGGAGGTGGACTCTTGTTGGCTTCAGAAAAAAGATCATGCTTCCACTTATCAACAGTCTTATTTGGACGATAATCTGGTTTAGAAATGAATGTGTCTCTTCCCCTAAGGCTTCTGCTGTCATGGTACGGCCTGTCTCTTTGTGAAGGAAACCTCCCCCTCCATGCCCCACCCATGTTTGACTCCCTTTCCCGGGCAAATTGCTTCTCGGATTGGTCTCTAGGATGGGAAACATCGCTGCTTCTTTCACTTCTTCTATCAACAGCATGATATACATCTCGAATGGAGGAGTTGTGCTTAGCTGGCTCAGTTTCTTCTTTGTCGGCTTTCTCAAGATCAACTGATATTTTTTGCTCCTTAAATGACCTTTTCTTTGCAGGTGGTTTCGGGTTTGCCTCCAATTCAAAGTACCCATCATGTTGCCAAGCATCATTTTCTTTTTCTTGAAGTTTGGGTTTTTGACCCACGGGTGTATCAACATTATTTGTTTTCCTGTTCGCCTGCTCCTTGGATTCTCTCCTTTGACCATGCTCTTTAACACAAAAACACACACAAAATTAGATCCAACACTAAACAATCCATTAAATTCACATAATTTATGAATAAGATCACCCATACAGCAATGTAAACAGTTTTAAAAGAAGTTCACCAAATGCCAGAGTACTAGAGGAAAAATTAGTTGGATTCATATATGAGGCAACCAAGTTGTTTAGTTTCTTATCTTGGAAAATACTAAAAGGTAAAAGAACATGTACAAGGCATTTTAAGAAAATCTCACCATCAGGATCCATGCGCCTTGAACTTCGACCAGCTTGCCTAGCATTACCGCGTTCGTCATGCTGTTATAAGAAATGCACAGGCAAGCCTAACAGTGTTATACACACATGTACTTGAAGTCAACTGTCTGAACAAGAACTCCCATACATCAGCCAAATAGAGGGTTCAAAAAATCAAAGAACATGTTTTTCTGTTATTAATAGCTAAATCCTGAGCAAAGGTGGTAGCCATCAATGGGATTTATGGGAAAAAGTCTTTGAACCTTGCCAAGTATAACACATTTTGGGTCCTTATGGTCCAGACAATTTAGTCTCTCGCTCTACAATATCAAATTATAAGCAATACTCCAAGCATCCATTCCACTGGAAGGATAAAGACAATTAGTTTTTTAGTTGCTTTTGCCAATAAAATAAAATACTCTAAAACCAATACCGACATCAGTTGAGAGAGAAAATTGAAGAAAAGAGAACATGATTACACTGAGAAATAAGCAGGACTTAACTAAAAAAAAGTTGTTCTGTGAACAAACAGTGTTAATTATTAAAGGAAACACCTGAAAGTATGACTGAGAGCGGGGTACTTCTACTGGGTCAAAAGAACGCTTAACAGATCGATGCTGAGATAATTCTGATAGATCAGAAGAGTGTTTCACTCCTTCACTGCGGACATCCTTTTTGTGGTCAGATACTTTTCTTGCATCCTTTTCTGTCTTGTAGTCATGCCTGGAAGGGGCACCTGGAAGTACATCTAAAGCATTGTTGGTAAGTTGCATCTCTGTTTCTGGTTTACTACCTCGTGTAGATCTCTTCGGGCTAAGAGAATGTTTAGTTCCTTCAATGTGAACATCCTTTTTCTGATCAGACACAGGTTGAAGCGGAGGTTTTCGCTTCTGGTCTGATTTTTTTCTAACATCTGGAGTATTGTTTGTAAGGTGTCTCTCACTTTCTGGTTTACTCCCTCCTGTAGATCTCTTCGGGCTAAGAGAATGTTTAATTCCTTCAATGTAAACATTCCTTTTGTGGTCAGATACCAGCTGGAGTGGGGGTTTTCGCTCCTGATCTGATTTGTTTCTAACATCTGAAGTATTGATAGTATGATGTCTCTCATTTTCCGGTTTACTACCTCGTGAGGATCTCTTTGGGCTAACAGAGTGTTTCGTTCCTTCAATGTGTGCATCCCTTTTCTGGTCAGATAGTTTTCTTGAAGCTCTTTCGGTCCTGTAGTCCTGTCTAGAAGAGGCATCAAGGTGCACATCACCATGCAAGTGAAGCTGTTTTTTTTGCTCCTGGTCTAAAAAATTTCTGCCATCTGAAGCACTACTGCTATGAGTCCTCTCAGTTTCTGGTTTACTATCTCGGAAAGATCTCTTTGGGCTAAAAGAATGTTTTGCTCCTTCAGTTTGAACATCCCTTTTCTGTTCAGAAACTTTTCTTGCAGCTTTTTCTGTCCTATTATTGTCCTGTCTAGAGGGGGAACCACGATGTGCATCATCTTTCGGTTGAAGCTGATTATTTCGCTCCAGAACTAAATTCTTTCTACCATCTGAAGTATTGTCAGTAAGGTGCCTCTCAGTTTCTGGTTTACTTTCCCGCCTAGATCTCTTTGGGCTAAAAGAGATGCAACAATTGGATAAACGTCAAATACTGAAGAACTCCAAAAGCATGATAATACAATTTATTAAATGGAAAGGCTCCACTCATGTATTAAAGTATATCTCAAGAATATAATCATTATGTAACAGTCAAAGAAAAAAGTCAAATTTCACAGCCTCATTTGTGGATGATGTTAGCAAACAGATTCCAGGAACACAAGTGTGCAATGCTTGACTTAGAAATGTGCCGTACACTTGACTAATAATGTAATCCCAAAATGGCAAATGAAACACTGAACATTTTTCATCTTTATAATTACCCACCCAAACTTTATATACAAAGTGTACTCGCAAAACAAGATACAAAAATGTGTGAATGAAGTATAGTCCACTTGTCCTTTATTCCTGATATAGGCATGTTTTATTATGTCTAGTATGGCAAAGAAGACCAAATGTTGATGAAGAACAGAAGTCCTTAAGGGGTTATACTGATCAAGTAATACCATTTCACTTAGGTGCAGCTACAACAAGACCAGAAGCTATGTCTTTAGTTTAAGTTTTCAAATACTACCACAATTAATATGCTTATCATAGCTTATCACAATTAATAAGCTATATCAAAGTTTAAGTTTTCTTTAGTTTAAACTGATGGTCGCCCACACTCCCAGTGTCCTCATTCCGCTCAGATAGATTCTAATATTCAATCTTTAGCACCACAAGCATTTCCTGAAGTCATGAATTGATATCAAGGGAAATATTTTACGCGTTAAGGTTATGTGAGTGGTAATAAACAATTCCTTTTACAAATTTAAATAAAATTAAGATTAGAGCAATCTAAACTTAGAAAGGTAAAACGTCTATTCACTGTTTCTAGCCATATTCATGCTTTGTTTGAAAGTAGTTAATCAATAAAAAAAGGCCCTACCAGTCTACAGCTCCACATTTCCGACCCAAAACACTTATCAGGTACACTTGAAAGTCATACACTCATATATATTTGTGACTAATTGCACTGGATAACCCTAATTTCCAGATGAACAAGAAATCAATCATCTCACAGTCGTGAACAGAGAATTACAACGAATATACACGTTTATATACTATAGCAAGCACTGACGGATGGGCTGCGGGGTAATTACCTAGGTTCTTCATCAAATCGAGACCGGTGGCGTCTCGATTCAGAATCGCGGCGTTCAAGCCGAGACATTAAAGATCGACGGCGATGGGTGACGCAGCTAAGGCCGATTACGCTCCACTGTGATGATTGATGAAAGCTTTGAACAAGAGCAGACTGTCTGGGTAGTGGACACCAGAGACGATCCAGGCCGGACTGGGGCGGGGTTACGTTACACCAAACTTTAATTAGTATAGTACAAGCCTGTTGGGCTCCTTAATAATTCGTTAGCTCACTTGGTCCACATATTTAGGTGTCCTATACTTGTATAGTTTGTATGACCAATTTTTAGCACAATTATTACTACAGGCTTGATTCAGCACAATTATTTATAAATTTGTTAGAAAAGAAAATTGTGGTTAATATTTGAGTATATAATAACGTGAATATTGTGGACCACATGTATCTTTCTAAAAAAGAAAATTATGACACTTATTTTTGGATAACCCAAATAGAAAAGTAAGATATGTAGAATTTGAAGGAATGAGTATATAAGGATTTTTTGGATCCTTTTGTCATGCACATTCTTACATAATTATATGTTCATGTATTTATTAGGTGATTAAAAAATAATATGTAGTACTATGTTTTACGTTAGACCGTTAGACCGTTTTTTAAATATCTAGTAACATTGCATGATGCAATTACCAATTGGTATCCAATCACATAGACACATTCATCAGGATGTTGTCTTTGGAAATTTTAAAAACATTTGACATATTTACCCCTCATAGCAGTACATACATTGATCACCATGACTATAAACATGAATAGTCACTATAAACATGACTATATGCCTTAGCCAAAGTGGCAACACTATCACAATGGATAGAAATAGGTGGAATCTGTTTCCCCCACATGGAATCTCAAAAATTAAATTTCTTAATCACTTTGCCTCTTTACCGGCGGTAGCCAACGCAACAAACTCAGATTCCATTGTTGAACTTGTGATACAAGTTTGCTTCTTGGAAGCCCACGAAATGGCACCTCCCCCAAGCAAGAATACCCAATCACTTGTAGAAGAATGGTCTTCTACATAGGATATCCAACTCGCATCTGAATATCCCTCTAACACCGAAGGATACTCAAAGTAACACAAACCATAATCCATGGTTCCCTTTAAATACTTGAACACTCTTTTCATTGCTTGCCAATGTTGAGTACTGGGATTACTAGTATACCGGCTCAACCTACCCGCGACATAAGCAATATCTGGTCTAGTGCTTGTCATGGCATACATCAAACTACCAATAGCTTGAGAGCACTCAAGTTGTGATATCGCCTTTTCTTTATTAGGCATTAACCTCACACTAGGATCAATGGGAGTACTAACGGCTGAACAATCACTGTAATTAAACCTTTTGAGAATATTCTCAACATAATGAGCTTGTATCAAAGCAATCCCTTTGTTTACCCTCTTAATCCTTATTCCAAGGATCACATCCACCTCCCCCATGTCCTTCATGGAAAACCTTGATGATAACAACCTTTTAGTTTCATCAATCTGATTTTGGCCCGTTCCAAAAATCAACATGTCATCTACATAGAGACATATTAACACACCCGCCCCTAAGGCATCAAACCAGCTATAGACACACTTGTCCGATTGGTTTGAACTAAAACCATTAGACAAAATAACTTCATCAAACTTTTGATGCCATTGTTTGGGTGCTTGTTTCAGCCCATACAATGATTTAACAAGTTTACATATCGTATGCTCATTTCCCGGCATAACAAAACCTTCCAGTTGTTTTACGTAAACTTCCTCATCAAGATCGCCATTAAGAAATGTCGTCTTAACATCCATCTGATGTATAATCAGATTGTGTATAGCTGCCAAAGCAATTAACAACCTAATGGTTGTAATTCGAGCAATCGGTGCATACGTGTCAAAATAGTCAATTCCGGTTTTTGTCTAAAACCTTGAATGACTAACCGGGCCTTGGATGACTAACCGGGTCTTCCACTAAATACAAGTGAAAATCGGGACCAAATTCTTTCACGATGCGGCCTCTTTTGCTTTTTCTAATTTGTGGTGTTTCGGGATCCGAGACACCATCCAAACATTCTGGAACTTGCACCTTACTAGTGCTTGGAACTAAGTCCTTAGGTCTTTGAATTGATGAAAACCTCATCTCATCAAAGATCACATCCCGAAACTCAATCACGGTGTTAACCGTTACCGCATCGTTAGGTTCTATTACATAAAACTCATATGCCTTGGAATTTTCAGCATATCCTATGAATATGCAGTCAATTCCCCTTTCTCCCAAAGTTTTCCTCTTTGGCTATGGCAATTTTACAACTACCCTACAACCCCATACCCGAAAATATTTCAAATTTAGCGCTTTTTTGTACCAAAGCTCATACGGGGTTGTCTTGTTCCGTTTGTTTGGAACCTATTTAGAACATAGCAGGCTATGAGCATGGCCTCTCCCCAAAACCCTTCACTCAAACCCGAGTAGGAAAGAATGGAATTAACCATTTCCTTTAAAACTCGATTTTTCCGTTCAGCCACACCATTTTGTTGTGGTGTATACGGAGCCGTGGTCTCATGAATGATTCCAACAGATTGAAAATAATGGGGATCCATATATTCTCCTCCCCGATCAGTCCTAAGCGTGTAATCGGATTACCTAATTGCAATTCAACCTTGGTTTTATACACTTCAAATTTCTCTAAAGCTTCATCCTTAGTGTGTAGTAAATACACATAATAAAACCGAGTTGAATCCTCAATAAAAGTAATATCATACTTTTTACTGCCAAGGGAAGAAGTTGAGTGAAAGTCACATAGATCACTATGTACAAGATCCAAGATAGCTGAATTCCTTTCAACATTAGAAAACGGTTGTTTTGTGATCTTAGTAAGCATGCAAGTCCTACACTTATCATTATTAATATCAAAAGCCGGAATTAAACCATCTTTAGACATTTCATGCATTTTTCTAAAATTAACGTGAACTAATCTAGCATGCCAAATCTTACAATCATTCATGGAAAATGCTGCAAAAACAGAATTATCACTAGAAATTAATTTATTCACAACATTTAAACGAAACATGCGATTTGATAAATATCCAAAACCAACAAACACACCACACTTGAACAGAATATATTTATCGGATTCAATCACTTGTTTGAACCCTAAATTGTTCAACATACTTCTCGAAACAAGATTCTTTCGAACCTTCGGTACATACAAAACATCAAACAACGTAATTGTTTTTCCAGAAGTAAATTCTAAAACAACTACACCCTTTCCCAAGATTGGCGCAATTGACTCGTCTCCCATGCGTAAGAAGGAACCGACCTCTAGTAGTTCTAGGTCTTCAAACCATCCTTTATCCTTACACACATGGCTCGTAGCCCCCCGAGTCAATCCACCATGCACAACAGTATATTGGTAAATACTTTTAACCCAGCATTATTCCGGTAAATACTTGTTTAATTGGTATTAATTCGAAAAAAAACTCCAAAAGTGAATCATATAGGTAATTTCCACATAATAATTTTTAAAATAATTGGCCCGTAAATCTTAAAAAAACATAATTGATTAAAAGAGAGGATTCTCTAAATAAGACTAAAAGAAGATATAATTACAAAAATAGGACCACTATGTTTTATTGGACAACAATAGGACTATAAAGAGCTAATCTGACAAAACTACCCTTAATGAAAAAATTAAAAGTTTGCAGGATCTGTGCGAGTTCCGCGCAAGTGTGCGCTTCCAAGCCTCCAAGAGTCGATGCCTCCAATGGTGCCTCAGCCACCCTCCATCAAGTATGCCACCACCGCCACCACCACTGCCCCTTAGCGAGTACGCTGCCGTCATTCTCCAACAATGATATGCCTTCCAGTGAGTCTGTGCAGACCTCTATGAGGAATGCCACTTGATATGTGATAACTTAATATGCATAATGACACAATAATAACAATCTCGTATAGAAACATGACATTCTCAATATGACATTTCCAAATACTGAAATGGCGCAAAAGTGACATTTTTAAAATAACCAATAATTATGACATTCTCTGATTCAAAAAGTGACATTTTCTTGAGAATCATTAGTCAGGGCATTTTGAGATTCAAATTAAAAAAAGATAGCACAACCAAAAACGGAGTTGTGGCATAACCATGTCATTTTCATATAAAAAGATGACATTTTCTGCTATAAAAATATATAAATTTTAGATTAAAATAAATTTATTTTCATATTGATAATTGTGGAATATCTTTTGGGACTAAGGCTTGGATGTTATTGTATTGATAATTGTGGCATTTTTCATAGGAAATTATATAATAAAACTGACATCTTTATACGTTTAATGTCATGAAACTGATAATTGTGGCATTTTTCTAATACATAATAGTTATGATATTCTCATATTTGAAATTAATCAAAATTGATAAATATATAAAAATTCAAACTCATTTCTTTCACTTTGTACATATAAATTCGACTCTTCATCTGAAGTTCTCAAATCCAAAATTTTATTTAGGATTTTGAAAGTAATCAAATTAATTGACAAGACAAAAACAGAGAGCCAGGAAGAAGAAAGAAGTCAAGAAGGAGGAAGAGAAGAAGAGGAGGAGGAGGAGGAGGAGGAGGAGGAGGAGGATGAGGAGAAACAAAATGAAAAAGAAGAGGAAGAGTACATGATTGACTTCGCAGAAAAAATCACAAAACACATGTGTAGTTGGCTTCGATGATCTGAGAATTGCAACCCATGGTGGAGAAGTTGTTGTCCATGGCAGATTCGTAGGGGAGGGGTTGCAATCGATGGAGGTGGCCGTCGATGGGGAGGGAGAAATCGCAGGAGTTGGGAGGAGAAGAGTTGATCGACGACTTTGAAAATAAGGGGTATAAATGTAATCTGGAGTCCCATGTAGAGAATTTAAAATTTAAAATCCTACTCTAGAATTTTAGTCATGTTTAGAATGATTGTTTTAAAAATAAATAAGTTTACACGCTCCAAAGATTGCGAGATAAGAGTTTGTGATTGTATATATACTCCGCAAGACATAATCACTTCAAAATAAATAAGTTCACACCTTCAAAGTATTGCAAGAGTGGAGATTGGCCGGTGCCCATAAAAGCTTTTTTCTGAAATCGGGATCGACTTCAACGTTGCTCAGAAGTGCAAAAAGGGGCATTCCGAGAATTGAACTCGGGA